CAACTCTGCACTAATGCACGATGGGAAGCAGTGGATTCACATCTTAACATGCAGACTAGCTGGATAGACTGGGCAATATGGGTGCACATCTCAGTAAATAATGAGCATCAAATATCCAGCCCAGTCATTTTATAAATGGTATTTTATATTCGAAATTGTATTGAAGGAAACCTGGAGGAGCCTGATGGAGCTGATAACATTAATATATAGAACATTTCTATAATTACAGGGGCTATGCTTAAGTTTGTCAGTTTGTGGGACTATAAGCCAGTACAAGCACAGCTGATCCACATCCAGCCTCAGCCAATACGAGCACAGCCAAACAGCAGGGTGTCCAATACCAGCGCTTTCAGAAAAAGTGACTAAACGTAGTTATTTGAGCGTTGTGTGAAAAACGTCTGTGTGTAACCCTACAGGTGCCTCACGGCCGATGTGCTAACAGGTAGGGTTAGCTTCCCTTGTGTTGCTGCAACGTAGCAAAGCGTTTCATATAGACGTTGAAGGTGTGACGGCTCTGTTTTTGCACTGTGAGTCCCAGCCAGTTTGTGACCGAGTGGTAACGTAGCTGGTAGAGTTTTGGAATATAAACATCTAAAAACTGAAGCCAACCTTGCTCTGTTTGGGACTGTGAGCTGCACTTTATGAGAGTTGCTGAAGTTAACATGTGTGGATTTTTGGTGAGATTGTGAATTGAAAAGTGTTTCAGTTAGTTTTGGTTTCTGCCTCCTTGTCTCATCTTAACATACCCAAAGTCCCAAATGGGGTTCTGTGTCTGTCAGAAAGGGATACTGCCACAACAGCAGAGCAATAACGCAGACTTATCCCCCCACAGTATAGGAACTTATACACTTGTCCTCTTGCAACTCAGTTTTCCTTATTGTGATTCACTATAACTTATAATGCTGTATTCAAAGCTGTCTCAAGTGAATTTAAAAAGATTGATTGTGTTTTGTAAGATCAATAGATTTTGATGTGTAGTACTTTTACTTTTGATTACTTAAGTATTTTTAAAAGCCTACCTAAGTATGAAAATTGAGTACTTCTTCTGCCCTGAAAGGTGTTGATTTCAATAATGGGAGTTAAAAAATTACACATATATAACTCATCTCGTACTTTTACCTCTTAAAAATACCTTTAAGTGGCCAATACAACCCATAAAATGCAGAATTCCACTTGCCAGAAAGTGACTGAGGCCTCTACTCTGACTGAAAGGTTATTTATGCCTGGTTGAGTTATAATTCTCATGGATGAAATCAAGTCATTTCAGGGCAGAAACTACATTTCCTTTAAAGCACTCCGGCAGTAGAAGTCTGATGGCCGTCCTCAGGTCACTGGTATTTGTATGGATGGATCTTCACACCTTTACTGACACTGAGGTGCCGCATGGACATTTAAAGTCATTGCTTAATTCAGTCATGCTTACCTGTGTGTTGACTCAGCAGGGATGATATTAAATGAGAAAAAATGAAAGAGTTTTGGGCTGGGCTAAGCCCCTAATGTTTCAGGAATCTAACAACACCCCTGGTTAACATAACTATAACACATTGTTTGTGGCAAATATATAGCCTACAATCCAGTGGTCAAATGTAGGCATATAATGTTGTTGTTGTTTTGGCTGTTTGGCTGATGTTTTTCAGAGCCAGACCCTAATTCCAGTCTTCAGTGCAAAGCTAAGCTTATGTTCTCCTGGCCCAAGCTTCAAATTTATAGAACAGATATGAATGTAGTCCAAATATTCTCATCTAAGTCTTTGCCTTTTTCCCAAATTGTCAGATTTCTCCATTTTAGCCACAGGCTACAGAGATTTCATATTCACATTTTATTTTTCTTCCACTCTGCCTCAGACAAGATGAGAAACAATCCTGCTGGGATGTTTTTTGGGAGGTTATTTGTTTTCTGGTTTATATAGCAAAGACAGTTTTTATTCACAAGTTTCATTCACAAGTTTCACAAAAATGTTCAGGAAAAGTAGGGGAAAGAAAAGTAATACACTTTGTCAACAGAAATATACCAACAAGACGACGAAACCCAGCTTGTTTAAAATGGGACTTGGACCACTGTTTGCTGCTTTTATCCATCTTGCATCACTTGACCTTGATGCACCACACACTTTGAATCTTTAGCCCTTTGTGCCATTTAAATGTAGACGTGCCTTCACTATCTGACTGAGAGGAGACATTTGCCTGGCTGTATCTCACTGTTCACGCTTTCATCAAACGCATATAGAGTGAGAGCTGGAGCTCCCTTTGAGGAAACACTGTTAAATAATGCAGGTGGTTAAGTAAGCTTGTCGGGACGAATTGTAAAAAAGCTCCTGCTTCACTGAGCCAGAGCCTGTTAGAGAGAGGATGGAGGGGGGAGGGGACTGCGTGACTTTCAGCCCTCCAGAGGGTCGAATACAGAACATGGTAAGGAACGTGTGTGTGTTGGGCAGCTATGATGAAGAAGCCAAACAGGTTGAAGTCCCTGTGTGCTCTTCCTCTACCATCATGTCCTCTCGCTGGTGGTTTAGTGATTTGGTTTCTCCTCCTTATTACAACCTCTCTCAGAGCTAATAAAGTTGAATTTACTGACCTACACAGTCACTTAGAATTTAGGACAACGGAGCAGGAAGAGGATAGGCTTATGTTATAACGTCATCGTTTGGCATTAGAGAGTACAAATGACGGTCTTGGTCCAGAGCTTAAGATGTGACCAGCATCAAATACTACTACTGACTCAATTAGCAGTCACCTCCACTTGATCAGATAGTACAGGGCTGCCCCCTGCTGCTGGTAATAACAAACTGCACCTTTGGTTCCTTGGGCCTACACTGTCAGTTGTCAGGATGTCATTCATGCCTAGGGAGGCCCAAAGGTAAGTAATCACACAGAAAGGACCAAATATACAAATATGTACATTTGTTAGATGTACACTGTCAGACACTGGAGACTCCGAAAACAAGAGCAAACTGAGACTATACACAGTAACCTTATACCTGTGACCACAGGGTGGAGACAAGGGAGGGACTTGCACAGGGAAAATGACAGTGACCATAACACCATCAAACTGCAGGTGGTCTGTCTTCATGAAACATTTTGGGAAATCTTTACAGTAAAGAACAAAGAAAAACGACAGACAGGCTCGCTCTATTTCAGTTTCATGCATTGATTCATTTTAACCTGAATTATCTCGCAAACTCGCACCACACGCATTAGCTTCCTCCCTTTTAGACTGCATTTTTTATTTTCATGCCTCTGCGCTGGAGATGTTTTCAGGACACAAGGATGAACTGATTAGAATTTGGTTGTCAAAGGTCACTGTGACCTCACAAAACACGTTTTTGGCCATAACTCAAGAGCTGATGATGACCATATTTCACAGTTGGTCAGACACTGAATAGTTTACAATTTCGACTCAAAGGTCACCGTGACTTCAAAATAGGTTATTAGGGTTAGGCAATTCTGGTTACTACTAGTTTACAATGCTTTGAACGGTCTTCCATGCTTGCTTCCTCTTTACTGCCTTAGTTCATCTAAACATATGGACCTCTGGAACAGCCTGCCCAATAAAGATTCAATATGCAACTTATGTAAATCCCTATTCTAATTTCCACTATGTTTTATTTAAATTTAGCTAGAGACCTTTTAATCTGTTTTCTCATGTAAAGCACTTTCAGGAGCAGTCTACAGTTTCAAACGTGTTGTACAAATAGTTTGTTATCTTCATTTCCAGTTAGAGTTTGCCAGTTGTTGTGGAAATCAAACACTTCTCTTCCATGTTGGCTTAAAAGCTGAGATTCAAAACTCATTCTCAACTTTGGAGATGACAAAGCTCCAGAATAGCTACTAAATTGACCTTGTGGTAAAACTGTCAAGATACATTCCTTATTCCTTCTGTACATAAAGCCGGTATGTAAATGTAGTCACTGTATTGTTAATAAATTACATTCATATACCAGAAAGAGATGATTTCTTATTCGTGAATATATTTTAATTCTGTATAATGCTGGTAGGTTACAGTGTACATGAAATGGCCATAATGGAATCTGATAACCTTGAAAACACCTGGGCTTCCGTCAAGAAAACAGTTACACTGCAAGTACTGCCTGTAATGTCATGTCTTGAATGAGCCACTGCTACAAAGAGTTCATATAAATACAAAAACTAGATTGATTTCACACATAAAACGATCTGCTGTTTACCCCCCCCCCCATATGGTGAAAGGCCAAATCCTCACATGTAACTAAATCCACTGAAACTTGAGCAGACATTCATGGTGTTAACCTTAAAGACACAGTGTGGCTGATTGTCCTGCTGTTAATAAGGCCTGTTGAAACAGTCTTAACACCGGTCTGAATTAAATACTATTAAATCCTAATCTTCATCCATAAAAAAATAATTATACAACTATAAATTATAACTAAACACATATACATAACACTGATTATGGATGACTTGTACGGATGTTTGCAGTGAAGAGGACACATGTAGTAACCATAATGTGATATTATTATTGCTTTGGTGTGTTTCCACAGAGAAGGGAAGAATTGTCCATGTGAAGAGTGCAACAACAAGGTGAAGAGGCCAAACATTATCTCACAGTTCTACACTTATTCCCTTATGGACTTACTGTAGCCTCATCTTAAATACACAGTGATGCCCTGTTCATTTATAGCCAGACATGAAGACACCCCCCTCCTCCCCTCAGCTGTTGTCTCTCTCTCCCTCTCTGCTGTGTTGTGGTGGTCAGAAGCCAAAGAAATTATCCCCAAACGGGCTGAGACCGTTGGGAGTGTTTCCATTGGCACTATCCCAGTCGGGTTCAGTAAGCCAGTCTTGGGGCGTCACCCCAATGTCCAGGACCTGGGGGTTAGTACGTGACACTGCCAGGCTGAGGAGACAGAGGAGAAAAGATGAATAGAAAAACTATTCAAAAAAATAATATAAAAAAATAAATAAAAGAACAAAACTCAAAAAGCTCTGCTCCAGTCTAAACAACCTTTATTAAAAAAAAAAAAAAAAAAAAAAAAAATAAGAAGAGGATAAAGCTGGTGTTATTCATCCATCTCTCAGTAGCTAACCACTTTGAAAGCCCATCTGTGGCACCCTCCCACAAAGTCCATTGGCTCCTGCTAAAGATGCCAATCTTTAAAATCAGCTCATATATACACACACTGCCTTGTAGTTTGAGAAAAATGTTACTAAACAAGAGTGAATAGTGCATTTTAGCTACACTTGACTATTTAGGATTCAAAAAGGTTTATATGTCGCATACACATACTTTTTAAAAAAAGTCCAATGTGTAGGGCAGTGCAAAGGATTCGCTGAACACAAAGTTTCTAGACAGGAATACACATTCAGTAAGAGGTCTGAACCAGTGACTGTAAGGTAGGCTACCTTTACAGCACCATGATGATGTGCGTGGGACTAACTCAAAATTAACTACTAGCTGTTCGTAGCAATGAAGGAAGATATCAGTGCAACTAAATGACGTTTTTGGACAACAATGGAGCTCGATGGCACAGAGGAATAAAACCAAACTTTAGATACAGACGATGTATCTAAATAGGATACAGTCATTGAAGGTTTTAATCTTTTTGCGGAAGTTGAAAATAAAAATAGACCATCACCAGCTTTATCCTTTAAGACAGCAGAATGAATAAAGTCATTACATAAGACTTAACACTAGCCTAAATGGTGCAAGATGAAATTGTAATACACTGAGCAAGAGCTAAATCTTTCCTCTCTTCTTTTTCACTGGACTTCAGGCCTAATATCACTTAGCCAGTATAGCTGATGATACGTAGCTCCTCCCTTTAAAGTTTGGGTCAAACAGCTCAGCCTCCCAGACCCCGTTTCTATAACGGAAGGCTAAACGTCTTCTAATTAAGATCCCTCATTTTGGCTACAAACTGCCTTTTATTCCTGGGATACTATAATATACAAAGTCTGGGTGGAAGTGAACAGGATTACTTCAAGATATTCAGTTCACTAGAGCCATGGAATAAACCGTTTGATCTGTCGCTATGTCAAGTGACCCACAGCTCCCCTTTTACAGCAGAGGCCACAAAGAGAATAACTGCACAGTAAAGCCCTCGGTGTGTAGAGAAGGCACAATATTTCCATATTCAACAAATATTCCATCTGGAAGGAAATAAAAAACAGACACAGGAAGCTATTTCACGTTTCTACTGACTAACAGTACTGACCAGTGAACAGTGGTATTGGGTTTGGCGGCGATTTAATGGAATGGATTAGGGTTTGGTTAGTAATTAGGACTAATACACTAAAGTAAGGCTTGTAACAGCTGACAGTGGTGCTCAACTTTACCTGGAAATGAACCATAGCTATCCAGAGCACCGCTGAAGACACAAAACACACAATAGATTGAGGACAGTTTAGTTTCTTTCTCATTGATTGTATAGTTTCTCTAGAGATTTCCTCACTTTCTATATAATCATAGACTGAAGGATTTGTATTCTGCAGTACACGGAAATCATCAGTAAGAGGCGCTGTGAAGTCGAGCAGTGTGAGAATGAACTACAGTATGCTGAAAGACATGACAAGGCAGAGTTTGGTTAGGGGGCAATTTATTTCAACAAGCAGCAGAGAGAAGCAACTAGGATTGATTGATGTATTCCTATGGCAACTGGCAGCGCATGTAGATGCATTAGCCAGTAGATCTTTCAAACTTTAATACACTCAGCTTTTTTGCTGAAATACACGTTACCTATGACAGAAATACAGTCACTGGAAAAGGAAGAGGGGGGTTTTGGATTAAAGAGCAGCGGGCCTTAGAACCTGGACCAGGCACCACGGCGGGTGCGGTGATCGCTCAGAGGACAGGAAAGAGAGCTGGGATAGTAGCCATGTTGGCCCAGCTTTGACTTAAAGCTGCTCCTAAAAAGGTCCAGTCTGAACAAAACGAGAACCATGTTGGCCAAGTAACAGAAATCAGAGACTGTTGTGCCCACATCTTGAGCCGTCAGTGCTAGACTCCTGCAAGATGAGAGGAGGTGAACTCTGTTTTACATAGACGATGCTTGGTGCTCAACAGCAGTCAAGATGGCCACAATTTCCTAGATGTCAGACTTTTTAACGTGAAGATGAAAACATATTATCTTGTTGTTGGCGTTTACATTCTCCCCAGATGCAAAAATAAATAAAGAAATGCACTGCAGAATGTTCTGGGTGTATATGTACGTAAACTAAGACAAATCTCTCACCTGGAGAAGGCTTCATCCAAACCATCTTCTAGTTCCTGGAGAAGAGACAGAAGAAGAAAGAAGGAAGAATCTCGGTTTAATATTCACCCTGTGAATATTACACACACACACACACACACACACACACACACACACACAGATGGTGTCTGTATTTAACTAACTACATGTAAGACCTTTTTTAAAGACTCCATCTAACCCCTTTTAACTGTATTTTAAAAGTTTTGAAGCTTTATAATTTGAGATATTCTTAAGATATTTCCAGGATCTGCAGACATAAATCAATTATAAACACGGAGAACTTGAGTCACATGAGATCCAAATTTAAAAGCAATGATAAAGTTTAAAATTTAGGTGAGTTGCAACTGCCTGGCTTTCCATAGGTGCAACATAGAGCCAGAGGAGGATCTTACCCAGGCAGGGTTGTTATTGGTCTCAGAGGGCCTGTGGTCAACCAGATGATCGTCCGCTACATTCCCGTTGGTCTCCACCACCTTGTTCACATTGTCCTCAAAGTCCAATAGGTTGTCTGTGGCGACATCTGCTAAAGAGGAGAAGGAAGGACAAGTCATTAATGTTGAAGTATACACAGGAAATCTGTGTTTAATGAATTTCAGTGATTTACGGGCATTCGGTTTTCTTTTAATTGTCTCCCTGTGTCCCCACCAAAGTAGCGCAGACAAAACAACAACAACTGAAAATTCTATCTACAGTGTCGAATTCAGGACATTTCAGACTCAACTTGTCAGGCTCAGTTTCTAATTGTAAGAGCTCTACTTTTATCACTCAGCTGCACTTTGATTCAGCTTTCCGTGAATGCTAACATTTAGGGCTGCAGCCAACAATGATTTTAGCGCTTGAAGCTTCTACAGATTATTTCATCGATTCATCGTTTAAGAAGTACTTTTGCATGGCGGCGGCGCCACCCGGTAATGGCGACATAAGTTTCGTTTTACAGTGGACAGACTGAAACATTAGAGTTGTTTTCTTTTAGCTTGAAATAATCCCATACTTTGGAAACTTTCTTTTTCATCCCTCACTATTTTCTCTCTTCCTCCACTTTGCAAACAGCGGCATCATAAACACGTTGTGTTCACAGCGTAAGCGAGACAGTAATAAATGTCTGTACGAAACAGTGTGCTATATAGTTATATGGATTGCATCAATGCTTTTTAGTAATCAAATTAATCGATCAATGAATCGTTTCAGCCCTACTAACAATGGTATGGTACTGTAGCATAAAAAAATAAAAAATAAAAAGTTTAAAAAACAAAATAAACCCAAACACCACACTTTTGAGATGGCTCCATGGTGTGTGTGTGTTTTTAAACCTGTCCCTTTCAGGCTCCCCAAGCTGTTAGATCTCTCTGAATGGGAACTACTGCTGGCCTCTCCAGCTGAACCCGACTTCGCTCTTTTCCCTTTTTCTAGAACAGAAAGCGACATAAAACAAAGGCAGGTCAAAACTTGTTTACTACAACCTTACAGCAGAAAACATCATTGGAGCACCAAGGCTGATTCAGTGCAATTGTCATCGTGTGTGTCATTTCAAGAACTTCAAGGGTAAGGAGCGTGGTGCCTACCTTCTTTGGCCACTTGCCAGAGTTCAAAAGCTACTGTGAAGGCCTGGGCTACTGTCAAAGCCACTGCCTGAGCCTGGAGAACAGGAGAAACATACACTTTGTTACAGACCACAGCTGAAAAAGATGAGTTGAGATAAAGCTTTTCTTTCATTGAGACTAGAGGTGGGGCTACTCACACAGATGGAGAAACCACTTTACATCAGAAAGCAAATATACATAACATACGCGGAGGGCATACAGAGGTCATCACCACTATTCCCATAACCACGATAAGGGAGGAGTAAGTATTTAGGAAGTAGGGTATTATCATGTTATCCTGGGAGAGAGGGGGATGAGTGTAGAAGCAGGTAAGATGAGAGAAAAAGTGCCCTTCTGTTTTTCAACACACAGGGAGATTACAGGCAGCTCGAGGGACCGAGACTTCTACAGTTTCCTCGTAAGAATGGAGGATGAGTTGAAAGAAGAGCTACGGTGTCAGAAAGGCATTGAGGAAGAGCAGGATAAATTGTGTCTATTCCAAAAAAATGCTTCAATTCACTCAACTTTGATCAAAAAATAAAAAATAAAAAAAATTGGATGCATTTAAAAAAAAAAAAAAAAAACAACAAACAAACAAAACAAAACAAAAAAACACACACCCACACACCAAACATATCATTGCTTTTAAAATGAAAGAAAAGGAGGTACACTTAACTCTTGGTGGTTGTAATTTATAACAAGATGATGCAGACCTTCATCTTAAAATTTAACATAAAACACATACTGTAGTCAAACAAACAACTCACCACTTTCCTCTTGGAGCAGAGATAGGCATGGCACTCCAGGGTGCCATTGAGGGTGTTCTGAGCGATATAAGCAAACACTTTTTCATGCAGTTTGTCCACTGTGCAGTAGGATATTCTGCAGGCCAGAAGGGACAGGTTAGAGAAAACAGTCAAGGAGAGTTCACAGGGTTAGCCATGTGCCAGATCAACTACATGGCAGCTGCATTTAGCAGCTCCAGAACCGTAACAACGCCGTTAATTGGACATTTGTCTGTAAAACCTATGCTGCTCTGCACATACCTGTATATGGAGACATTTTCCAGGAGTTTATTGGTCAAGCTGTCATGTAGGACGATTCCCTGAGGGGAAACCTTGAGAGCAACCTTCTGAGGCTTCTTCCCACTGGCTTTAGCCTATTACAGAAACAATCATCAAGAGGGTAGTTTGTTTAAGGGTGTGAGTGTGTTGGACTATGGATCGGGTACACACAGTGGCTTTAAAACCATTTTGATTCACAAAGTTCTCCAAGTGAAATTTAAGAAATGTATCTGAAATGAAAATTCTTTTTTAATAATCAACTTCATTAACTGTTTCACTTGCCAAAACATACCATACCTTAGTGATGTGACATGTTTAGTGTGTTTCCATACATATTTTTCAATTTACACATACATTTTGTTTTTAACAAAAAAAAAAAAAAAAAAAAAAAAAGGGGACACAATTGGGAATTCCTCCAAGCAGTCAGCCTTAACGTCTGAAAACATAACGGACGAGCTTTCAGATGTGACTGACAAGGTTAATACAAGCTGATCCAGATAAGTACAGATTTTGTAGAGACACAATGTTCCAACAACAGTAATGCTGTTGACTGTATAATACAGACATCCTGAATGAGATTGTCAGAGTTACTGCAGCTCTCACCGTGGCAACGATCCTCTTTACTGCGGCGGCTGACAAGTCCTCTCCTTTGGGCTGGTCCACTAGTGTCATGCCGAGGTGACGGAGGTTAAAGGTCATGCCCTCTAAGATGGTCTCCCGTGTGTCAGTCCAGTTCTCCGGAAGCTCTACAGAGGAAAAAACACATCATCAGGGAATAAGTGGGTCAGTAAATGCATCAACAGGAAACTGTGTCATAATCGTTATCTTGTTGTACCCATTCATAAAGTTTAAAAACATTAAATTTTTTACCGGTTGCAGCATCACAGACGCTATGACTCGCCTGCTTTCCCCTTCCATTTCATGTTCCAAAATAAATAACATTAATCGTGAGAACGTTCAAAGAACTTGAGGAAAACACAAATTAGACGAAATGTAAACAGCCCGTGTTCAACTTCAAGTCGTTGAATCGTTTCATCTACTCTCTCCCTCAAGTGGAAAGGCAAAACAGGGTATCTAGGTCAGAGGTACCATCAATGTAAAGTAAATATTTTAACTCTAAACAACTTATTGGGCCCGACAATAAAAAGAGTTGGGAGCAAGTATACATGGACTCTGACATACTGTGATAAGAGGAGTGGTTTATCTTTCTGCAAGTAACATAACAGATCTCTCCCAAACTAGGCCATAGATGTCTCTCTAAAAAGTGCACTACTGTCTAGAACTTTGTGTTAACTTTCAGATCATTAAAACAAAAACAGAAAAAATATATATAAAATAAAGAGCACAATGATCTGCTGATTAAAGGAAGAACAAGGAGGACTGTAAAAATTGTAACTGCTGAAGGAACAGCTGTGATCTCCATGTGGTTTCTTATCAGTTTTTGCGCGGTGCCGGCTGGCCCTGAACCTCTGGCTGTGTTTACACAGATTTCCTCTGAGAAAGAGGGGAGGGGAGAGGGGTTAGTGAAGGCAAGAGCAGAAAAACATCACCATTACCTAGAAATTCATCCTCCTAGCATTTACCTCCTCGGGGATGTAGTGCATACCACACACTCATGCAGACGCATGTTCTCTCTCACACACACATCTCTAAATTAAAGATTTACTGCAGCTGGGCCAGAATTTGTTATACTGAAATATGACAATTTTCATGCCAACATCCGTCCAACAATTTCAGGATGCCACGGATTCATATTCTTTATAATGAATACATTCCAGCTTAACACACACAAGATGTCCTTCTGCGCTCTATTGTGACAGACTCGAGGAACAGGCACATGCTCACACTGACAATGCCAACTCACTGATGTTTAGCAGGTGTTTACTTTACTTGCCATCGTAGACTAGTGTGCTAGCATGCTAACATGTGCAAATTAGTACTAAAACACAAAGTACAGTGGAGGCTGGTGGGGAAACAGACGTTTTGCAGGTATTTGCTTATAATCTTAAGACATTTCAACTGATGATCATCCCGAGGGGAACATGAATCTGTACATGTGTACCAAATCTCATGACACTCCCAACAGCTGCAACGAAATATCACTTAAAACTACAAATGTGAACCTCATGATGACGCTAGAGGAAGAGGCAGGAGATCAATAAAGCCACTGCGCTTCATCCTCTGGGGACCTTGAATGACAGTGCAACATCCTTAAAAATAGTCGTTGAGCTATATTTCAGTTTGGACCAAAGTGGTGAACCAACTGATCGACCGGCATTGCAGTCTGTAGCATCACACTACTAGCATAAATAAAATAATGAAAACTGTTTTGTGAATAGGCTAATCATGACATAAGTTTTAAGCTTAACACAATCATATTTTTATGCACTCTAAAGCCTTGAGGGATAGACCCCGGGAGAAATTCTTTAAAAAAAAGCTCCAGTGACAGAGGTTGCAGCTAGAATCACTGTGTCTTAGGAAAAGGTTTCCCACAAGTTAACATTCCAAACAACGCCACACTTTGAAAGATTTAATGTGTACAGTGATGTCTGCCTACTAGCTTTCATCATTGCTGTGGTGATTTGACAAACCACTGACTACAGTGAAATATAATTACTTGTCTTTTGACCCTAAAGCTGATGTTTTGTTTTCAGGTTGAACCATCATCCAAGTAGTTAATTACTCTGAAGCAGCACTGAACATCACAGACCAACAAAAAATTCCATCTAAACCCAAAAGAACTTCATTCTTTTAGTATTTCATTGCAGGTTTTACAGACACTAAGAGTCTCTCATACTATTCTGGACTAACTGTGGTCAGGTTAAAACCATCATATTGGAAGGACAGCACTGGATGGTCGACGTCATGAAGCCAGCAACAGTTTAACAGGTACCAGGCACCAGCTCAGCCAGAGATTTTGGAGGGCTTTCTGATTCGAGGTCAGCTACAGCGACACCTGAAAGGAAACAGCTGTGTGCATGTGTGAACAGAGACCAAGTGAAACCAGCTCATGCTGCTGTAAATACCCACCAATCTCAACATCTGTTAGTTTTAGAGTTGATTTACTGGGTGTGGGGGGGGGTGAGGGCAGGGGAAGAGTGTTAGATGTCAGAGAGAGACAGTGACAGAGAGATGGGGACATTTAAAAGAAAGATAAAACAATAACCAAGTCCTCAGTTCATCAGTCAACTATCAAGTCCAACACTAATGGATGTGCATCCATTTCATGAACCAAAGTGCAAAAAAAAATGAAATACAAACTTTGAGAGCCATGACAACAATCGTGCTGATCCAAAACCTTACAACTGACAGGCAATTCACGTCCTGGCTGATTTGTGTCTACACCAAATACTGAATCACTGTGGAAACCACTAACTGTGGCTCTACTACTTAGGACCACTCCAGGAATCCGAGCCAAAAGCTTCTGCCACCATTTAACTTTCAGCATTTCTTTCAGCTCCACTGATCTGTATCCATGCAGCCGAATCAGGTTTCAAGGAATCCAAATTTATCTGAGTTGATGTCAGGGTTTCTACTCATGCAGAACCACACACAAAAGACAAGTGACAACGTGCTTGTTTAGTCTCTGCAGATGCAAAGTTAAACAAACATTTCTGGTGTTGGTGGGACAAACAGACAGGGCAGAAATCCAAGAAGGCTGTCTTCCATGTGTGTTATAATAAAAGGGATGCACCGAATGTTCGGCCACTGTAATTAATCAGCCGCAAATAGCAAAACAAAAAGAAGCACTTTCGGTGTTTGGCGGGCCTAATAAATCAAAAGACCGAATAAGTTTTACCAAACAATTACGTCGACATGACGGCAGTGGGGAAGCATTTTAAGGTGTCTGAGAAAGACACAAAAATTGCCATTTGCAGACACCGTTCCGCTGAACTGTCACCTAGCACATCCACTCCATCTGTGGCTGACTTCTTAGAAAAGGCAACAGTTTGACCCGCTCTGAGTGTTTCAGCTACTCGTTTGTGAGAAGGCGATTAAGCTAAGCTAACCTACATTTGGAGTGCACGCGTATTAAAGCCTTTATGGTAAAACCATTGTAACGGACCAGTGCAAGCTGACAGGCAGGTTAGCAACTTTATCCTGTCAGTGTGTCTCTTTACAAAGACAAGTGTTGCAGTGTGAGTCCGACCTGAAGAGAGGCTGTGAAGTCTTCATGTTACGCGGTACGAGAACCACATAACACTATTTATCAAATTGTCCATTTATAAAAATAAATTAATAAAAAATGGACAGATGTAAATTTACTTTGCCAGTCCCTCATGGGCCTCGGACCCACCCACCGTAGTCTCTCCAAATCATGTGGGGAAAGACTGAATAAAAGCACATTTTGACTATTTAATTTATGCAGTGGTAAAAAAAAAAAAAAAAAGGCAAAATAAATGGAAAAAATGTGAATGTACTTGTTTGGTATTTGGCAAATTTTTTCCATTATATTCGGTTTTGGCCTCGGCCAAGAATTTTCCTTTCGGTGCATCCCTAGTTACAATACAGAACAAAACAGACCCATCTTAGGTCACATGACCTACAAGTAACCAAACAGGGGTCCTTAAACAAGGGGAAATTTGTCAATCAGGTGATTATTTTTACTCTCCCCCACAGAGGTTACTTTAACTGATGCATTTTGTGTTTGTTTTTATTTTACGAAAACAAATGAAACCAAACTTGAGGACTTTCCTACGAATGGCATAGTTTGTTCAACTTTGATAAAAACAAAAACCTGTCAAACATAATCTACTCTGTCACTTCTGCCAGTCAAACCTCAATAAGTTTTCAGTTTCTCTCATATTATGGCAGCAGTGTGTTCTTTCCTAATAATGTACTCACAGTGTAGGCTAACCTGGTAGTTAGCCTTGCTGTCTTTGTGTCTGATTGGTGACCTTCGATCACTTCTAATAAAAAAATAAACTAAAAAACAAAAACTTGGTTTGCATCTTCTGACCTGAGTTTGAATCTTACACATCAGATACCATCTTCTGGAAACAGAAAGGGAAAAAGCCTCATCCACAAGCAGACTCCTCACTGAAGTAGAAGAGCTAACTGTAGATAATCATAAGCTTCCATTTGTGAAGGTGCCTTAAAAAAAGCTCTTTCCCGCAGACATGCACCCTCTGGCTGGGCCCTGACACCGGCAGTTTGCTGGTGCGGGTCGTCCAGAGTGACCAAGCCAGGGCAACAAGAGCAGAGAAGTGGATAAGGACCGGAGAGGCATTTGCCATTTATAAAATGGGGATGTCTCCATGCTGTTAGGTAGGTTTCTCCTCAATGCAAACTTACTCACAGTGGGCTATATGAAAATGAGCGGCTAAACCTATAGAGACCCATTAATGACAATATCTGTGTGAAACGCAGGTCCTCAGGTGCTGTAAACCTGCTGGTTTTCTGTCCTGTCAGTTAGCTGCATTAACAGGATATCCCAAAGTTTAAATAAGCTTCTGAAAAGGTTAAAACTTAGGCTGATCCTGACTTTGTCCCATAGGCCAGAGTCAGACTTGATAATCTGGCATGGGAAATATGGGTCAGCACGGGTGAGGAACATGTACCCTGCAGCCTAGAGAATACTTGGTATTCTATACTTCAATAAACTACTTCTGTAACAAGTGGGTCACTTGCTCCATTCACAGGAAGCTTTTAATTCCACTAATAATCAGCCACATTACAGTAAAAGCCAAATAAACCAGTTCACTATGTAGGTAGGAATGTCATTGTGAGCTAAATACAGCTGTAGTATTTTCTGATAAGTGTTGCTTCACAATAAAAGTGACAGAACAGGTTGTGCATGTCGGAAATGTAGAGTCTCATTGTTTATTGTGGGGCATTTTTAAACAGGATGCGTTACAAATCCTTATCAGTTTTATTTACGGGTCACGGACTGTGAATATTTTCCAAGAGGAACTGTCAGTTAATAGATTGACCCACACAAAAATGTGCTGGCAAGATATGTGTTAGCATGTAACAGTGTATCTCAAATTTCCAAGCCATTGCTACTACGGTTACATTTAGTAATGGGGGTTATTTATGTAATCCACCCCGTATTTTCTAAAAATCAGCTTCAGCTCAGCCGTGCACTGACTGACTTGCCGCATTCCTGGCTTGTCCTCATGGTTACAAGCAAGGGGAGCTTTCAGGCTGCCACAGTCATTCCCCAAGAACTTTACAGGCAGGATCAAGTGAGATTTAGTTTACAAAGTGGCCCTTGAGTGCTACAATGGGCACCGGAGTGCTTTAAAAGAGTTTCATGTTAATGTTGCAGTGTGGGCAAGCTCCTGACCTGCTGTAGGGCCCTTGACACAAAATCACTTTAAGTTCTAACAATGACCCTGACCTCCGCACTTCCTCTGTTAGTGTGCATGGGAAGAGTAGGGTGTCCAGAGAGGTTGGGATTATCCACAAATCCAAAAACAATGCTGTATTAAGTAAAATAACAGTCAAATATTGTACTAGCCACAGAAGGAAAACAAGTTGAAAATATTGTTCTTACTGCCTTGAAATCTTTTCTTAAAACATGTGAATACAGTTGACCATTGAGTGGGAGATCATTTTGAATATGACATTTGGACTTTTCCTCCATGAAGTCATGTTCTGTGTGCTTTGGTCTATTTTCTTATGCCTAGTCTCAAAATAACATTAATTCCAGAAAACTGCTGAAACGTGATAAACCCGCCTTACAAACAAACAGACTTGACTCTACCCAATGGCCATCTGTGATAAAATAGCAACGTATTTTCCCCCCAAACCATTTACCAGAACACAATCGCTTCCTAAAGTGTCCGTCTGCACTGTAATCAAAACCAAATGAGACGTGTCTTGGTAAGCTCAAAAGACGTCAAACTTCTACTTTGTAACTTTGTTGCGTCAGCACAAAACGGCAAAAATAATAGCATTTTGGCGTGTCTCGCGTCTGAAACAAACAGCTGAACTTTCGTAAAGTTAGCTTACACAAGTAACGTTGACTAGGCTATCCGTCATTGTGGCAATTAAGGTAAAATGGGCACAGCGGTAAGCAAAAGTCAACTTCGGCACGGTGAAACTGGGAGATGTAGCTAACAGTTAAAACCCGTATTTTGTTTTTTTTACGTTTTACTCTAAAGCCGACAATAATTTCTTACTTTTGTGTCTGCCGGCAATCCAGGACTGTTTCGCCATACTTGGGCTCCGGATAATAGCTCTCCCGGCCGACTTGAGGGCATCCATGTCGGTGTTTTAAAATGCAGTCTGTGAAGTTTGCTGGTGAGTCTTGAGGAGAAATGTTGTTGACCAGACTGCTGATGGGGAGGATGGACTTGTGCTGCCTTCCAGTGCTGTCAGAAATCCCGCTATTTACGAGGTCAGCGCACGTGAACGAGCCCAACAGAGATGCAATGCTGCATTTGCGTCAAATGGGACATTAGAGACCGTTAAGGTTCAGGTAGTGAATACACACAAGAAATGACCAGATCTAATCCATCTTCATTATGTTAGTCAGTTATATTCTGTTCATGTGGAGGGTTTTTAATCAGTTGCATTTCAGTTAACATTAGTTGTGAAATAACGCTGCTCAGAAATTATTTAGCCAAATCTAGAAAACTTTATAACTATACCAGCTTGGTATCTTCATGAGCGCAGCCTGAGCAAACGTTTCTGCTTTTGTAACCTACTTTGTTTTTATATGCAGTCTATGTTTTGTTTACATGAATGCAGCATACTGGTAATTGTTGAGATGTGACATTTATAGTGACAACCATAAAAGCTCTATCAGCAACTTAAAAGGCATTTTCTGATTTTAATTTGTATTAAATTGGTTTCTATTTTCTCTCTTCAAGTTTCAGATGCCATACAATTGTGTCAATAGGCGTTGTATTGCGTTATCTTCCTGGAATTGGGAAGCGTGACAGCTGAAAATATTTACCTAAAATTAATTTAAGCCCATTACGACACACAGACACATACTTAAAACCTTTTTGCCTGCCCTAAAGCAACTGAATGCAATTTGTCTTTGTATGTTTTTACTACGAAATATATATTTACAAGGAGCACCTGAAGGCAACATCAAACCACAGAGCAACCCCATTTTTCTAACCACTGCTAGAAGAAACACGGGTTTAGCAGAGGATGTCAACAATATTCATCTAGCTGGCTCGCAGGTCTGGGAGGTGAGAAAAGATAAACTAAATGCTTGAAATGCATATGAATTGTTAGCTAAATGGAAATTCATGTAACTTCTGAATTGAGAAGTTTTGTTTGTCAATAAATGCAAAATCAGACTCCCAGGGTTCTTTTAATTTGTCCTCTGGTATTAAGTTTCTTTGTTGTGACATCCCAAACGTTATGGATCACACGGTCACCATCTCCTGGCTGATTCTGGGTAAAAAGTTTGGCCTCTTGCTGTTGTCATATAAAGGAAAACTAGACATACAGATCTTGACACGTACGCAGACTGAAGAGCTTGCATTGCCACCAGCAAGACTTTCTTTAATAGTGATGGCCAAAGTGAAAAGTGTGACACAGACACCGTCACTTTGGGTAAAGAAAATAAACATGGTGGAACAATGAGAAAAAGAAACCAGAGAACTTTTTTTATAACCTTTTCTTCCTTCTACACAAACCTATAAAAAGCAACTTGAGAACTGATTTCACAACACCAGAGCGATCCACAAAAAATACTTTTTTTTCCCCCCCAGGGAGGCAACATGACATCACAACATGGTCAAATGGTTCAGGGGTAACCTTTTCCCAACACAACACATTCACAGAATCCTTCCTGGTTAAGAAAATATAGGAAATCAACTGAATATGATGGGAACTATCAAGGAGGTGCCACTCAACAAAAGTCTGTAACAAATAAATAAATGTGTCAATAACACAATCAGTCCAACCGCCTGCTGCTCCATCATGATCAGCCCAGAACCTTGTAAACACAACACTATATGAATATGTTCCAATGACAAAAAATTATAATAATAATAATAACAGCACTCTTCTGCAAACATTATGCTAGCTACATCAATCAAAGTATGGATGGAAACCAAACATCAACACTTGGCACTTAAAAAATTAAATTAAATAAACAAAGAAAACATTCCTCAGTAAGTTAATGTACATTGCTGTAAACAACTAAATGCCAACTCTCGGGCATAATAATGAAGTTCAGTTTGGTTGGTGTCTGGCATACCAAGACCGTGTCACCATGAAATGACTTTTTGTACTTTTTCCCTTTAAGCCTGTAACATTGTGATCTAAAGATTGAATGCGTCTGAGGTGACACTTTGAATGCTGCATTGAAACGATCAGAATGTGAGAAATTTTTTAACTCCTACGAATGAAAATCTGGCAAATCTGAGCTAGAGTGAGAAACATGGCCATGAGGCTTGATGCTTTTAGATCCCAGGATTGCAAAGTATGTGGTTTTTGCAAGATAAAAAGACAAACTGCAAGGCACTGTAAAATCTGCAAATAAGGGTAACGACCAGTTACCTCGACATCATTAAATCCAGTGAATAATATGGCGGGTTCTAATTTGGTCCAGAAGGAGAGGCAAGGCGTCCGCAGCAAACAGGTGAATGTTAATGCAACATTTTGGCAGTGCCAGGTCGAATCTAGCAGTAGCATTCTTTTAGGGCAAAACTACATCTGCGTTGTCCACTTACTGATAATCCTGGAGAGCATTAAGAGAACAAATTGTATTGGAATATCTGAAGAACACAGCAAACGTTTATCTGTTAAATATTACTATTTTCGAAGAAATGTACATTGTCATAACTGAAATGAACTGTTACAAAACGAACAATCACTGATTTAAGTTAATGGTGATAGCAAAACATGGATAGTTATACATTCATGTAACTCTCACAGGGCTTTACTTTACAGGCGAGTTTCAGACTCAAACTGAAAACATGTCTTCTGTCTTAATATAAACCATCACAAAAAGCCAGTTGTTGTTTTTTTTAATTAAAAGCCTGAATGTCAGTTCACTATAGAAGAAAATATCACTTTAGAAGAAGCTGTAGGTGTGGGGGTTATACTGACACCAAAAGAAGACTGACATAAAGCGATGCATGATGGCGCTTCTGTGGACATTTGGCCAAAAAAGTGTGTGTTCCTTTCTCCCCCTTCACCCAGACCTCGCTGTCTAATGGCTAAATCCCGAAAATCAACAAACCGCGCCCCCCCCTCAAAATAATAGTTTTCATAATAGAACCCAAAAAAAGGAACCTAAAACTCAGATGTATGGAGGGGCTGTGTGCACTGTGTGTCTGTGTGTGTGTATGTGTGTGTGTGTCATTATGTGGAGTGCAAAAACTGTCAGGGGCTGGTAAATTCAAAAATAACCCAAACTGGAACAGAGAGCTTCAACAAAACAAAGAAAGAGACAAAGTTCTGTCTGACAACAGTGTTGGCGTCAGAGTCATTTTTTGAGGGGCTGGTACACTGAGGCGTTGGGGTCCAGGGAGGAGGGACTATTGTCCATGAACTTGGAGGAGTAGTGAGGGGTGACGGGGCTGAGGTTGCTGCCGTCTGATGAGTAGGACAGGCTGGGCATCACTGCCATCACCTCTGCTATCTTCTGCTTCAGCTCTGCGATCTCCTGCTCCCTCTGGTGGATCTGGCCTGGGTGAGACGAAGGAAACAAAGACATTTCGTATCACAGCGCTGAGAGCAGAGTAAGGGGACATTTGTTCCAAAGTGACCTTACAAATTGAATCCCTGACAGATCTAGGAATGCTCGGCCGAGGAGATACAGTGCCAGCATACAACACGTGAACACATTAAATGCCAACACCAAATCTGAAGGATGACAACTTTTGGTCCCTTTTATGCTTCGCTCTTCCCCGTAGTTCCTGTAGATTTCCCTTTTAGGTCATCTTTAGTTGGCCGTAACCTGGAACAACAAATCTATCAGCTGTTTAGACTCCAATGCTACGTCATATTGGACTCCAATCTGTGGAGCTACTAAGTTCCTGTAAACATCCTTAAGACTCAAACTTGTAAGATTCCCATGAGAACGCCTGAGCTACTGTCTCTCCCTAATCAGTCTAACTGTGGTCTCCCAAACAAGGACCGTTACATGAGGGAAATAACTAGAGCAGGAAGAACAGTGAACACTTATGGGCACAGCTAATGACTCCAAAGGCGCTTTTCAATCAAAAGTACCAGGGACTATTAAGTCCCCAGGTCTATTTTCAAGGAACTAAAAGGTTCCTTCAGCCCATTGTTGTGTGCGTTTCCAACGTGGCCTAAAGACCAGCGAAGATTAGGCAAATTAACCAGCTGACGTAGGCTGTATGCCTGGCTGTACACAGCGATGCACAGGTTTATTATTTGTAACCACTATCCATGAGCAACATTTATAAATAAACATCAGATTTGAATGGAATATAATGACAAACTACAGGCTATGCTTGACCATTAAAGCAGCTTTTTTGTGTGGGAGCTATAATGAGCAGACACGCGATAAAGTTTGTTACACATTTAATAACAAACTGGATAAAGCCATCTAGTTCTTAAAATAACCCCAGCAGATAAAACAACACAAAAATAAAATTGCGACAGTTTGGAAGGTTATTAAAACATTTCCAGCCAAGAGCTGCAGATCAGCTGCAGGACTCACGTCTGTCTCTACTCGCTCATTCCGAAATTCACTGCAAGGCAAGCTCCACCCCCCCAAAGTACCCGGTACTTTCGGAAAGTACTACCCCCCCCGAGCAGGGTCTTTTTAGGGGCTAAAATAAAGACCCCAGAACTACATTTAGACCCTGGTCAGTTCCTCCAAAGGTTCCTAGTTCCGGGGTATAGTTCCTTTGGTTGAAAAGCAGCTCAAGCTTGACCTGGCTTACCTTTCCCCTGTCACATCAGTTAAGCCCCCTATGAATATTAACATGGATATTTATCTTGACTGGGTCTAGAACTTTGAATCCGCCCACTCCACCGAGTTGACTAATTCTGGTCCGGCATCATGACATGAAACATCGGCTATCTCAACTGAAAAAGTAAGTAACCCAGTGAGCTCCGCAGGGGGCACTACTGATAAGCCAATGAGCACCACGAGCAGGACTAACGCTGTTGTTGAGCGTTGTCAAGCTGTGCAGTGGAACCAAAGAGGAGTAATAACAGCAACGGCGACCGCCACAGAAAAGACAGACACGTCAAATTTATTTTACACAGACGTCTTCTCAACGTCACCCAACATCGTAGTTCGTTTTTAATTTGCTCTGCTCCACTCTTAAAACCCCAGCAAAACCATTATGTTGGCATGGCTACGCATCAGCGTTGACTTGACGTAAAATTTAGGCAGATTTGATGGTCTCTAGTGAT